GCCAGTCAGTGGTTGTGGACCGAACGATGTACATCTCAGGTCAGCTGGGGATGGACGTGGCCTCTGGTCAGCTGGTAGATGGAGGGGTGCAGGCCCAGGCCAAGCAGGTGAGGACATTCTTTTAATCCTAGAGTAGTAACACTATTTCCATTAGTAATTTACATTAAAAACTGACTGATCTCTCATCCCTCAGGCTCTCGTCAACATGGGGGAGATCCTTAAAGCTGCTGGCTGTGACTACACCAATGGTGAGCTCTCAGTACGAACTCAGCTGCTGCTCGTTTTTTTATATGATCTAAATGTTTAAACGTGACAGACTCTCTGACAGAGTCAACTTTTTGATTTCAGTGGTAAAGACGACCGTGCTGCTCGCTGACATCAACGACTTTAACAGTGTCAATGAGGTCTACAAAACATGTAAGGCAACACTTTACTCCTTTTCACACTCAGTGCTTTAGATATCATGCTAGGAATCAGATTATAATGGTAAATGGTAGCTTTGGTCTTCTAATCTAGCCACACAGGGGCAGCCTTTAACCAAGATTGTCCTTGCTGCTGTCACATTCTTGGCCTGTCATGTCACACACAGTGATACGCACAGTCTACTTTATTCACTTCATGTAAGCATCATCGTTGTGGTGCTGTCACAGAATAATGACTGTTCTGCTTGCACAAACACCTGAGTCACCGTTTGCTGTGGGACCGGGTCATCGGTTCATTTCAGTGAAGGGAGGTATGATCAGAGATATTAAAGAGCTGTCAATACTCTCAAATTGTCTTTACTGATGGTCATGTTTCATGTTCCTGTGTGTGGAGACAGGAGTGGAGATAATGGACGTTTCTTGCATTTTGACTTGACACAGTAGGAAAAACTGCAAAACTGAAATTATCAACAATGGCTCAGTTCCATTGAGTGTCCCAGTGAGTCATGACAGTAATGCAGTGTAGTCATTTATAATGTCCTTAGTTACTTCTGTGCTTTTCCTCTATGATGAACGAAAATGTTGCTGTGGAAAAGATCTGTTATTGCTGTTATAAATGTATTTATTAAATTTGCATTCAAACGATGCATTGTAAAACTGAACATAAATGTACTTCTACTTCCTTATTCTGACTTCAAATAATGAAATGATATTTTGATTTCAAAAAGGAATAGCTGGAACTTTTTGTTTTTCCATTTCCTAATGTATATGCATATCATATTCTATCTCACAATACATGTTTCTTACTTTAAGTTTAAAGTTTCCATTTCATGATTGCTGTAAATGTAAAGGTCCAGTGTGTAGGATGTAGGGCAGAGTCCTATAGGTTTGACATGCAGGTACCCAATGTGATGATCGACCTACAAAAAAGTCCATTTGCATGTGGTATGTTGTCTTGATTTTATTTCTGTGTTTGGTTTTTGGTAAAACAAAAAACATGCAGCCAAATTATGGGTGTTGGATGACAAATATATAAAAAAAATAATGAGACTAATAATAATTTAATTTAATATTCAAACATTTTAACCCTCTGACTGCTGACTTTGTGTGTTGGCTCTCTCTTCTGTGCCAGCTGGAATATGAGCGCCCCTGCAATCAGGTGTGTTACAAACAGGAATGTGAACTGTGGAGACATGCTGCTCAATATTATGAGAATAAGAAAAAATATTTTAGACTGTATTTCCTGAATTATGTTTGTTTTAAACTATATTATCTTAGTTTTACATGTATTAAATATCCCCAAATTATCACGTTGAATGTGCTGCCTAACCATAAATTTTAAGCACGCATGGTTATTATAGGATTTTTGTTTTCATGTCAGGTCACAAATCTTGTACCGGCAGGTCTGGTCGGGTTGTGGAGCTTATTGGTCATATGTGCAGGTGGCAGGCTAGGTGTGGTATTGCAGATTGTAGTTCTGGTTCTATTGGCAGAAATGGTTTATAATATTCGTAACTATGTTTTCATTAGTGTATAATTACCTGAAAATGAGACGAGATATCTACATACGGAGCGGGTCCTCTTCCATGGAGTCTGCCATGTTGTTTCTACAGCAGTCCAGAGCGGACTAATAAACACTGGCTCTTGACAGGGCCATTCCCATTTTCATGTCGACCACCATAGTTCTCCTACACTTTTGGCACATGTGAAAAATTTCAGTTTTGCAACCTCACCACTAGATGGCATCAAATCCTCCACACCTAAACTTTAAAGATGTGTAAATAGTGTTCCACCTAAAAATCAAATGAAATTCAGCACACAGTTTTCTACTTTTTTTTAAAAATACATTTTATACTTTATACTTTACTATACTGTAAAAGTTTGTCACTACACCAGCAGCAAACTCCAGGATCCATAGATCGTGCGTCTCGTATTACACCAACATCCCTCAAAATAAGCGCTGACAGGTGAAGCGCTCACCTGACAGACGGGCTCACTCAGCCCTTCCTCTGCTGCATGAATGCAGCCTCCTCTCACAGGCAGCTTAGTCTGGGCATTTCCTCCTGGATCACAACAGACAGGTGTAATGGAAGCTGCGGTGCCCAGTGAGTTGTAAACGGACACCAGCGTTCAGGCACACAGATGAAACCCAACCCTCCCAGCAAACTCCCTGCTGACTCACAGGCTCCAAGCTCTCCCTCCTGACTCTGCTAAATCCTAAACCACGGGTAGGGAACTTTCCCTGACCCTAAGGAGAGGAAGGAGGGGACATGTGTCATATGGATGTTGACTCACCGTGCCCAAAGTTTTGACTATGTTCGATAAATGTGATTACTTGTATTTGCATTTGGAGATTTGTCTCTGTTTTAAAACTGTTTGTAAAATGCGAAAAAAAATCTTCCAGTGTTTCAGCTGTTCCAACAGATGATTTACTTTTTTCTTTCTATACTCAAAAAGTGTACATCATTAAAAGCCGGTGGGACCCATAAATCAAATCACCCATTTATATATAGTGACAGATTTACTTGGTGGTTTTCAATATATGCTTTTTTTTTATAATGCAAATGTTTTCCCTCCAGTTTTCAGTAAGAACTTCCCCGCCAGAGCTGCCTACCAAGTCGCTGCTCTCCCCAGAGTAAGTACAAACAAAACCTGCACACCAGCACAGAACTGCAGCACCCTGTGGTGTGGTTCATAAACATCCACACACATGGGGAGGAAGTTTATGGTAGCTAGGTGCATGCTCTTTCATCCGTGCCATGTGTTTTCCATCATCCACATGTAGTTTATGAATACTAATTGTTGGCTGGGCCACCACTTTAGTTAGACTGAAATATATCCACAACTATTAGCATGAAATCTTGTAGAGACACTGATTTTCCAACTTTTCCATTTTTTGTTTTTAGTGAAATTTATCAGCAAATATTTGACATCACCATGAAATTTTGTGCAGACATTCATGTTCCCCTCAGGATGATTGTAATAACACTGGTGATCCCCTGACTTTTAATCCAGTGGCATCATCAGGTCCAAATAACTACTGTCCAATACTTCAATTTATAGCCAAACACCTGCACAACTAATGATATTCCCATCAGCCCCAGCTGTACTGTTTGTTTAGCGCTAATTAGCAAATGCTAGCTTGCTAACATGCTAAACGAGGGTCACCCACTCTCTCGCTTTTGACGAGACACCCGCTGTCAGGCCCTGTCTCATACTCTCACCCTGCCCCAACAAATCTCAGCCAAATAAGAGGAAGCCCCTAAGTAAATGGTAAATGGACCTGCATTTGTATAGCACCTTTCTAGTCATCTGACCACTCAAAGCGCTTTTAACACTACGAGTCACATTCACACACTGGTGGCCGAGGCTACCATACAAGGTGCCACCTGCTACTTAGTTTTTAACACACTCACACACTGATGGAACAGCCATCGGGACTATCTGGGGTTCAGTATCTTGCTCAAGGACACTTCAACATGTAGGATGGAGGAGCTAGGGATTGAACCACCGATCTTCCGATTAGTGGATGATCCACTCCACCTCTGAGCCACAGCTGTCACTTCTTAATGAAAAAATACTAAGTAATACTAAAACTTCTCCGGTCAAAGTATACCTGCATTTTTTTGGTACCCAAATCAAGGAAAAAAAAAAAGATTTGTATGTTTTTGCCATGATTTAATGTGACGTGAGATTCGCCCACTGGTGCAGCAGCTACAACCAGTACAGTCGGAGGTGTGGTGAAGTCTAGCAGAGTTGGCAGTTCATCTATCGAGATGCCGCTAAAACATTTGAAAGCAAAGCTATACTGCACGCCTGTAGTGGAAAAAAAAAAGAATCAATATCGATCCATGAACAATACTGAGAGGCATTTTATTGTCTTGTTACCCACACTGCCTCCTTTCTTATGTCCTCATTTTCTCCTTCTTTCTCTCCTCAGGGTGGGCTGGTGGAAATTGAGGCGATTGCTGTTCTTGGTCCTCTCTCAGATTCCTGACTAGACGGCCCCATCCCAAACAAGCTGTAGTTAAACCATCACGTGACCTTTTATAGTTGGACAATGTAAGCCTTAAGACACATGAAAGACCAAACTAGGATCTTGTTGACTTCTTTTTTTACCACGTTTTCAGGTTATAACAGTAATGTGTTTCTCTTCTGGCCACTATGGCTGGTTGACTGCACTAGTGAACTACTATCACCGTTATACCACTCTATATTAAAACCCTTAACAGCTGAGCAGCATGTAATTCACCAGCATTAAACTAAGTGTAATGATGAAGTGGTATTGTGTCTGTACAGCCAGTCTAACATTCCCTGGTTACAGTGGCCAGATTCATCTTCCTCGTGGTTTCTGGTTCGTTACCTCATCTTCTGTTTTGTTCCAGAGAAATATTTCAACAGGTTTTAAGTGCAGCTCTCACTAATAAATAATGTAGTAAAACCTCTGATCTCAAAATGGTTATTTCACCATGAAACATCACATCAGACACATGGATTTATCCTGCATTAGAGGGACCGGTTAATCAAGATAATCTGCAGACCTTGTTGGTGTCAAAGAAAAGACATGTATTAGATGCATATTTTTTAAGGTGGCCTTTTTAATTTTTCATTGCTCATAGCTTATTAGAAATGTTAGGTCGTCTTCCTAGAGAGAAATCATGACACATCAGAAACAAAAAAGAGGTCTCACATGCACCTTACCTCATCTGTGCTCTTACATTAATGATTACAGTCTCAGCTTTTCATAATCATTACAAACATGGTTGTAAAATCAAAGCCAGCTACCCCCAAAAGAATATAATTTCATAAATCAAATAAACTTTGGCTTTGGTTTCCTTAGAATTATAATTTTATACAAAAGTATAGACTCTTAGGTTAAATCAAGAAGATTTGCTATTATAAATCTCTCTACAGATAATAAATAGAAATTTCAAAGACAATTTATCATTTAAGTTAACCTGATATGACGGCATCCTCTGGAAACAAACAGGAAGTGCCGTAGAACTCTGTCTATGTACAGATTACGAGCAGAAATTGCAGCTACACACCATCATGAGGGGAAGAAGGCACAGTGATGACTGAGGAACCCTGACTGAAAGTGGTTTATCACAGGGTCTGCATCTTGGCAACAAGGCGGTATCTTTCACAGGCAAACGCACACCTACACATACTTTCACTCGTGCATACAAACAAGGTCAGACACTTGGAACAAACTCATCCGTGCAATCGTTCATGTTGCACATCATTCACTGGGAGCTGAAAACAGAAGAGGGAAAACGTGAGAGTGGCTCAGATGTTTTTATAAAGATTATGTGACTGCTGACATCACAGCACCACTCACCTGGTGCCTCCTCTGTTTTGGGCTCTGAATCAGTCGCTGTGGCCTCTGTTTTCTCTGTTTAGAAAGAAAGACATTTTCACTTGTGAACAACAAACAATCATATAAAGGCTTGGAGCATGGATGGTGTATGAGTCACTTAAGCACCTAAAATGTCTGTGTTGATATGACATAGTAGAGGTTCTGATACATTTTCACAACTGTTTCTGTATAAGTTGAGTAGTGTATAGTAGTGGACTATGCTGAGGTTATATCTATATTTCCTATTATTCCTGTATTAGAGTACAGGCGTAGGAGCTTGGGTATGTTAAAGTGACAACTATAGATGGATTACTGAACAGCCTACCGGGGGCCCAAAGTGTCAGGGCCCCCCCTGGCCTTCACTTACTGACTCAAAATGACCACAAAGAGACACAAAAAGACCACAAAGAGGTGTAGAGGAACTGAAAAGATGCGTAAAACAACAAAAAAAGACAAAATTACCTCAAAGAGACCCAAACAACTACAAAAACACACAAAATGACAACAAAACAACACAAAACAACCATAGTGGGACTCAAAATGACCACCAGGAGATGCAAAAATACCACAAAGAGGTGCAAAGGAACTGAAAACAGACAACAACTACAAAGACACACAGACGACCACAGAAGACACAAACATACCTCAAAGTGACAAAAAATAACCCGATAAAACACAAAACTACCTCAAAGACATACAAAAGGACATCAGTAAGACACAAAATGACTTCTAAGCATCTCAATATGAGCAAAAAAGACAGTTACCTCAAAGTGACAAAAATATTTTAATTAGAATTAACACAATAAGACGCAAAATTATCTCAAAGAGACCCGACTGACTACAAAAAGACACAAAATGACTACAGGGAGAAACCAAATGACCACAAAGAGATGCAAAAAGACCACAAAGAGGTGCAGAGGAGCTGAGAACAGATGTAAAACGACCAAAAAAAGACACTAAATTACTTCAAAGTTACCCAAACAACTACAAAAAGACACAAAATGACAACAAAGCAACACAAAACAACCACAGGGAGACTCAAAATGACCACAAAGAGATGCAAAAATACCACAAAGAGATGCACAGGAACTGAAAACAGACAAAAAACAACTACAAAAAGACACGACCAAAAAAGACACAAAAATACCTCAAAGTGACAAAAAATAACCCAATAAGACACAAAATTACCTCAGTAAGATACAAAATGACTTCGAAGCAACTCAGTATGACCAAAAAAGACACAAAGTTACCTCAGAGTGACTACAAAAAGACACAAAAGCACCACAAAGTCTGTGTGTCTTGCTCCTATTTGAGTTGGTTTTGAGTGTTTACAGCATTACAAAATGACATGTTAAACATTCACCAACAGCATCTCTTTCCAGAAACATTGTCCTTGTTACTCTGAATAATCAACAGCAAACGGTTTTCTTATTGAAGGGACTATTTCTCTGCTGGAAAGTCTGCGGATGAGCCTGAGTAACAGAGACATTCTTCCTGCAAAGACAGGTTACTACTGAGTTTTTAAAATGTGATTTTTCACTGCAAATGTGAGTCAAGATGTTTATCTGTAATTTGGGTGAACTGACCCTTTAAGAGCAGTATTGCAGATTATGGTCTGCTCTGGAAAATCCAGATCACCAACAACAAAAACATTAATTATTTAGCCTGTAATACCCTTAAAATACCAATGTGTGAAATCGCGTCAGTGATAAACACCTACACATTTATATTCAGTAACATATGTCGTTACTTTTCTACAAACGACTTGTGACTAAGGATTATTTCAACCCTGACCACTAACAGATGTAGCGGTGGACGAGCTGCCATGTCCACTCTGCTTATGTGACACTCGATCTTCTCTCTCCATTGGCTGTGAAACGGAGGCAACAACATCATCTACGGCCAGTGGAAGCCCTATATGTGCTGGCGTGCTCTAGTTTCTCTGTGGACTCAGATTGCACCTTAATGAGACCACGATGACAACAAAGTGTTGGCAACACACACACACACACACACACACACACACACACACACACACACTGCATGCAGGCTGACTGAACAGGGCTGTGGTCAAGCTTGAACTGAGGGTGAGTCAAGTTGGACTCCAAAGGGGGTCGTGATCACGTCAAAGACAAAGGTCAAGGACAGTGTTTACTATGTTTCAGATAAATATACAAAGGTGTGTTTTTAAATCAATGTTGTGCTCTTAATCTTTTTTAATTTAGTAGCATGTAGCGGTGAGGTTGCAGAACTGAACCTCCTCCTGTGTCCTACACATCTAGGAGAACTATGGTGGCTGATACGAAAACACAAATGGCCTTATCTAACAGTATAAAATATTCCTAAAATAAAGTGCAGATGAGTTTTGGGCCTGGTAATATTACCTGGACGTCAGGGACTCGAATCACTTGACTGGTAAAAGACTCAAATTGACTTTGAGTTGGTATTCGTGCCTTGAGACTTGACTTAGACTAACTTAGACTTTGACTTGACCTGGCAACCTGCTGGGGCGCAGCAGACCAGCAGAAGCCAATGCACGAGGCAGCTATTATGAAGGTGGCTAGCCCAGAACTAAAAAAAATTTGGATTCGATGATCATGCTGTTGATGACTGCAGTAAAAGAGCACAGTGGTATACAAGGTCTGCAGCTCAAAAATCAGTGACATGACCACCACAGCATCCAACTTCCTCCATCACTACTACACCCACATAGAAAAGGTACAAGAATGTGTCTTTACAGCAAACTTACTAGCTTCTTGAGTCATCAGAGTTTTGTACGACTTGACCTGTGACTTGCGTGACTTATAGCAGGGACTCAACTTGCTTAATTCTCACCACAGAAACTTGGGATTTGTCAGAGACTTGAAGGTTAAGACTTGTGACTTGAGCTTATGTGACTTACTCCCACCTCTAACATAGCTTTAGATGTGTGTATGCACTACAGAAGGGATGACTCCTCCAGAAAAGCAAAATCTTTGGAGGCACTATTCAGCAAGAATTCAAAGTGCATTTCTCCCATTGCATAATCGCACAGTGATCTGGCTTTGCCACCTTGTCTATCTTTCCTCAGTGGGCTGCATTACAGCGGTGGACACTTTGCATTAGACAAAGAGGAAACTGAAGAGCTGACCTCGTGAACCTGTCGGCTGCTTGTCATTTGCATCGCGAAGCAATAAGTGAGCTGATAGCAGTTAATTTAATGGTGCACTGTGTCACACAGCTCCCTGTGGAGCACTTCCATGTATAGATAATGATTTAATGTGCTGAGCGACTGTCGCTATGCGGACATGCACATGCTCTGAAGCGCTCTGCTGGAATTTAAAGAAGAGATCATTATGTTGTCATTTAGATATCAGACTGTCACCAGAGCACCAGGACGGGCTGACAGGTTCAGTATTGTGCTTTAAGTGAATCTTGACTATATTTATGTATTTAGGGTAGGACGAAGTGGCTAAATAAACTATCAGCTTAAAAGATGTGGAGACTTTGCTGACAACTTACACACATCAGAAGCTGATCCTGAGCCACCTAATTAAAGTTAAACATTTGGTCCTTCACACCAGTTACAACCTCAACACACAATAGTTACAGATCAACAGACTGTTCAGACCTGAGTCCTACACATGTACACAGCCAGGAGGACAAACATACTCTCAATACATTTTCAAGACTCAATGACAAGACTCAGACTTATAGCGGTGAGACAAATTCCTCAGTACTAACTAAACACTCAGATGTGTGACTCATAAACCCATTTGTGTGGCCGCCCTGGTGTGTTTATTAAAAGCCGTCTCTGTGTGTTGTTGGATACCACCTGGTTACCTCTGCAGTGGGACTGTGGATGGTCTAGGGAAAGACGGAAGGGACAATATGTACCTGGGTGCTGTGCTCATTGGGTCACAGCGGTGCTCAGGTTACTGCTGGTCAAGGGTAACAATTGTGCATGGTGCCTAATGAGTTCTCCTTCTCTCAATGGGACACATAAATAATGTGAATATTGTTTTCTACGAACTGTGGTAACGATTTTAAATGACCTTACAGCAGATTATGTTGAGGTTAATCTCATAATGTCAGTGTTTTAACCCTTGAACATAGAAGCTGTTGAATATATGATATTGGATGTTCATTATAATTTCATTTTTAATTTTTTGTTTTCAATTCAGTTTTGTTTTACTTAGTTTCCCCCCTTTTAAGTTTAGTTTTTAGTTACCTATAACAACCTCCAGCTCCATCCTTATCAGCTTTACAGCTCTGTGAAGTCCTTGTGATAGATGTCAGATGACTGCCGCGGTCATTTTGTCAGGAGATGGTGCATATAAAAGTGTATTTGCATAGAAAATTAAGCTCACAATGAAAATGCTCAGAGTCTTGCAGGGGTTGAGCCGACAGCTTTAAACTGGTAGTGCTGCACAGACAAAGTGGAGTTGCTCAGGTGAAGATTATATGTATCTACAGTAGATGAAGGAATTAAAGGAAAACTGAATCCAAAGTTGAGTGTGTTTATCTGAATTTCGCCAACAGTCTACTAATATAATGGAGAGTCTTAAAAATGTACGTAGAAATTGGCCCAAACTCTAGTTTGTAAATGAATTTCTGTTAATATAGGCGTGTTGTTTTTGACTACCTTGCTCAGGAGCTGCAGCGGCAGGCTCCGAGGAGCTTGCCGCTGTCTCTGCGGTGCTGTCTGCAGCCGCCGGAGCTTCTGCAGGTGCTGCTGCAGCTGCCTCTGCAGGCGGACTGGCTGTGGCAGGCTGAGGCTCCTCCCCTGCAGGCGGAGCTGCAGCGGTGGTGTCGGCAGACGTTGCGGCTGCAGCAGCTTCATCTGCAGGCTTAGCGTCGCTGCCCCCAGCGGATGTCTGGTCCGGAATGGTTTCGCTGTCCTCGGCTACTTTGCCATTCTCGTTGGCCGCTCCTGTCAGGAACATGAGTATTAACACGACATGTGATCCAAACATCCAACAAGACAGTTTACAGATAATGTAAAACTAAAAACAGGGATACTCAACTTATGGTCCATATAGGATGCTGCGTGGTTTGCCGACCGTTTTCTAATTCAGTGGTTCCCAACCTTTTTCTTGAGGGACCTTTATTTTACCATTGTAGACATTGGTGCCCCCCCCCCCCCCTTCAATACTAATTTATTAATTTATCTTTTAAATAAATGAATAACCTTTTAATATAACCATTAAATTTGTTTGTTTCTGACGCAACAATTAATTAAATTTTGACACATTAAAATGACACCCCTTAAAATCAAGAAGGCTTCGCGACCCCCCCCCCCCATGGCTCTTTGGCACCCCCTAAGGAGTGGCCCCTGGGAAAAGTAAGTTGAGCTTCTGTGGTATAAAATATAAAACTCGTTCAGATTTACTGTTTATCTACTAACTGCAGTCAAAGTGCATGGAGTATGTATTGGCACTGGGCTGGCACGATATTGGATTTTCACCACACTTTAATTGCGGCCAAAAGAGTTTATGATAATGATAATTTTGCAATACCTATGCAATCAGTCAAATCCACCTTTGACTTTGTTTATTGTGTGTTTTGCCTCTTTTTGATGAAAGAATTAAACTCAAAATACGAGTGTAAGCAGGTGGAGAGAGAGTCTGTAACCATAGCTGTATGCGATTGCACAAAAAGAGCAATTACACTGAATGGATAATGAAAAGGCAGCCAGATGGTGTTGAGAGATAAAGCAAGAATTTAAAAGGCGCTGGATTATTTGCACAACAATATCATATGTGTGTTATTGACATAATGTCATGCTCCCGGTTCAAATGTTGTGTTGCACCTCAGTCTCTCCCACTTGTTTCCTTTCATCTCTGTACTACTGTCTGTCATAAAAATGGCCCACGAACATCTTGTCACACTTCACATCATGGCAACACAGGGCAGGGGCAGCACTGCCACGTGTCATGGTTACATGCTGACTAAAGGCCAACACAAACAAACAAACAGACCCTGTTAGGTCAGAAAACAAGACCTAGACTTTCATTATTTACTTGTGAGACAGTCTGAGGCATCAACACTGTGCTCTTGGGTTTCCATTGTTTTACTTTATGTTTGTGTTGCCTACATAATGGCTACAGAGTTGACTTAACCTGAAGCAAGAGACAAGAAACAAATATTATTATGGGTGCCATGCAACACATTTTTGTTGTTCACTATTCAGGTGCACCTTTTGAAATTCTGTTGACTTCATTATGCTCAGACAGGAGCAGCCAGTGAGGGTGTGCCAAGAAAAAGACTGTTATACTTCATAAGTTTGGAGGGGAATAGACAAGACATTTATTTATTTTTTAATCTTATAAATAAAAACTATCATGTTTCATACTTTGAGAATGATGCTATTTACAAAACAAGAGCCCTACGCAGGCAAGATGAATCTTAACATCCAAGGATTAAACTCCAGTCTCTGACCACCAGACCATGCAAAGCTACCGCCAAACAAAAACAAGCAACAACAGTGTGTGCGCTTTTCTAGAAACAGAATAATACTTGATCAACTATTCCTCCTTGAAAAACCAGGAAAGGATTAAAACATAATGCTGCTGCTAGCTGCCACAGATTATTGGGAAGGAAGTCAAATAGCATAAAGAGACCCCCCACTGATGTATAATTGGAGCCACAAAGGGTTAATGATTATGTGGACAGCTATAAATAAACATTAACCTCCCCATACCGCACAGTTCACAGCTCTATGGACAGGTTGCTATGTGTTTAGTGGCATTGTGCATGACTTCCTTGTTTTTTCTGGAAGGATTTGCATCACAAGTATTTGCATGGATCATTGCCCTTCATCATCACCCTTCTTTGTATCAATGAGATTTTGCATGATATTTGTCACAATATTTTCCTTTAATAAAAAAAGACTGCATTCTTTGAATGTGTAAATGAATGAACCTTGGGTTAATAAATGTCATCTTTCTTTCTTGGCATCAAGGAAGGAGTAGGGGAAGTTCTTGACACATGTCCATCTGACCTCTAAGACGATTCAAGAACACCTTGCTGTTGACATTCTGCTGATAAACAGTGGTGCACCCAGAAATGTTTTATAGGGGTGGCCAGATGGGGTCACTGAATATCTTGGGGGTGGCAAATCAAAACCAGAAGCCATAAGTGAATCTTAGGAATTGGATCATGTTGTTGAAGTATTTAGGTAGTTGAAAACTATGTCATTTTGGGAAGTTAAGGATCTGAACAAAACAATTACTGGGAACAACTTTCTCAAGTTTAGGGCAGACTTGTGGGTACCCCTAGAACCCATTTTCACTCAGGTATCCTGAGATGAGAGTTCAAGGGACCCTTTTAAAAATGGCCATGCCACCAGTTGTTCCCTCGCCAAAACTTAGCCTAACTTCGGAGTGTTATTTACACCCCTTCCTGTCAAGCGATGCCGACATGGTTGGCCCCAATGGTCGCCTTAGGTTGTCTAGTTTCATGAGATACTAACTTTGCACTATCTTAAAAAATGACTGTATCACAGCCTCTTCAAGACTGTAATGTCGGCCTCCAGTGATTTTCACTAGAGGCTGAAACAATTGTATTAGGGTGGTCATGGCCCCTCTGCCCCACCGTGGGGGCACCACTGCTGATAAACCTGGAGAGCGACTTCTTCTACACTTCTACACTCCATTGAGAGACATAGGGGAAACTCTCTTCTGCCGGGAGGTCAGAGGTCAGGATCAGCTGCAGGACATGATCTTAAACACACTTTAGCAGATGCGGTTTCTCAGCTCACTATATCACTCTAAGTCTATGCATTTCAGCGTGCTCAGTTATGTGAGCTGTCACCGCACTTGTTGGCCTGTAATGTCTCTTTAAAGAATGCACAGAGAGAAGCAGAGCAAGAGGCGTTTGCTCAGAGGTGGTCCCACTTAGTGAATCTTTTACCAGTTTTTTCACCTGAGTCTTCTTTGAATTCTGCCAAGTAATGCTTAAGATGGCAGAACTGCAAACAAACCTATTGTAATTGCACACAACACAGACTTAGTGAGAGTAAACACTGCTAAATAAAACCACAGGACCCAGTGCTGGTGGTTTACCTTGCAACGCATGCTAGTTTGCACCACAGCCGGGCCATCTCTGACCCACTACAACAGAGGAGTGTCCAAAGGGGCTTCTCCATTTCCTATTGAAACCGTAGACTGTCACCAAATCTGCTTTCATGCCACTGTCTCTCTCTCTCGGGTAGGACAGAGCCAGAAACCCCTGTTAAATAATGACAATAAACTTTCCCATCCTGTCACTGTGGAGCTCTGGCTCACTAAAACAACAGACATCAGATACTGAACCCAAAGAAAAACACTGATGATCATTTGCATGGAGACTGGGGCCTCATTATCAGAGCAGTGTTCACCACAGTGTGATGGATGATGTAACTCTGTTCAGAGATGGCAGTGAACTTCCATGATGACACCATTACCAACATGAAACAAGGCTATTTATAGTATCGACAATAACTATTAAAAGTACTTTTTGATTCCAATAATCATTTGAGGACATAACATGAGTGATGCCATTATGACACATTCATATTTACAGATATTTCACAGCCATGAGTGTCTCTAAAGTGAAGCCACGGATGGTGCTTGGTCAGTGCCACTGCTTGTAAGGTTAGAGATAATTTCACATTAATATTTTACATGCAAAGCATACAGTGTGTTAAAATAATTTCTGGATTGGAAATAATTGCCTGTAAATAATCTGTAAATATTCTGTCTCGATATTTAGCTGAATGTATAACACAAATGTATTTTCCACATCTCCCCTAAACACATGTATTACATCACATATGCGCGTAAAGCTTTGTGCATCACCTGTTGTGCTGGCTCCATTGCTCTCCTCGGGCTTAGCACTGGGTCGAGTCGTATCTACCGCTGAAGTTTGGGAACTGGTGGAGCATCCCATCCTGCCCTGTGCACATAGAGGACTGGATGATTAACTTCAGAGGTAAGAGGTGAGGAGAGGCTGTGGCTGCGCTGATGACGTCGCGCATAGATATCGTATCTGTAAATGGAGAGAACTCAAAACTATGGACAGCGGATCCCCTGGAGGAGAATCAGAAAGAGGATGGTCGCGAAATTCCTTTAGTCCCGTGCGTAATTGCGCATCGTGGTTCTTCCACTAAAAACGCGTTCAGCTATTTGTGTCGGAGCTACAAGTCTGTAAAGACATGGGCACGCAGGTGAAATGTGGGCTTGTGTTGTGTACTGTAACTTAGGCTGTTTCCAAGAGGCTGGCACAGGGACAAAAATACATTATTCAGTCAGTGTGCAGCGGCCACGTCTTGGGGCGGGGAATGTGAACTACTCAGGCCGCAGCTAGGGTGGTTGTCAATGTGCCCTTGAGCAAACACCTTCAGCCTGATTTAATCTAATGGAGGAAGTATTGAGATCCAAAATGTAGCATATTACACTATGAAACGTTAGAGGTAAAATTCCTTCACTTATGAAATCACTTACAAAAGCAAAATCAAAAGTAAATGTATTAGGCATTAGAGGGACCCCTGTCACAGTGTTTTAATGCTGTTAATGTTACATACTTATGGGCAGTGGTAGAGGATCCTTTGCTTAAGTATACTAATACCGCACTGTGAAAATACTCCAAGTAAAAGTCCTGTATTGAACATGTTATTTGCGTAAAAGTAAGTAATTATAATTGGGAAGACGTACTTAAAGTATTAAAATTAAAAGTACCCAAAGTAGGAAAATCTAAAAAGGAAAAAAAAAAGAAAATAGAGAACAACCTAAAGGTTTATCAGAATAGTTGCCCATTTATTTATCTGTCAATTGGCTGATGGATTAATCGACTAATCATTTCAGCTGTACTTACATAAACTGTTGGGTAGTTTGATTATAGCAAAACAGCATATTTTGTTTTTTTTATGCAGAAATCTTAATCTGTTGATTTCTGCATAAAAAACAAAGTATGCTGTTTCTATGCTGTTACATAGAAAATAAAGACAAATGTGGTAAAGTAAAAAGTAAAAAATTCCCTCTGCAATGTGGAGTAGAAGTCTTAAGTGGCCTAAGAAGAACAGACTCAAGTACAGTGCCTCAAATTTGTACTTAAGTGCAGTACTTGTGTAAATGTACTTGGTAACATTTCACCATTGCATCATTAGTTATATCTATAATAATACAATGGATATTTTATACGTTTAGTAGCCTACCTCAGAATTGCATCACTGCTTTTCGCAGACGATGTGGTTCTGTTGGCTTCATCACAGCGTGACCTCCAGCTTGCACTGGGGCAGTTTGCAGCTGAGTGTGAAGTGGTCGGGATGAAAGTCAGCACCTTCAAATCTGAGGCCATGGTTCTCTGACGGAAACAGGTGGATTGCCCTCTCCAGGCTGGGGGAGAGTTACTAAGCGAGGGAGCGCAAGTATCTCGGGGTCTTGTTTACGAGTGAGGGTAGAATGGAGCAATGTCTGGGGTGCTTTGCTTGGCCTGCTGCCCCCGCTACCAGGCCCTGGAGAAGCAGATAAAAATGGATGGATTTTATACGTGACCATATGTTTTGTGTTCGGATAGATGACATAAAAAGCTTTAAATAGATAATTTTATTACAGAACTGTAATTATGATCACTCAGATAGGCCTGCAAATGCTGCATATTTAAAGTAACTAAAGGCCTATAATTAGCTTTAATTATTGTTTGCATGTTTCTGAGCATGTTTGGGTCTGTGGTGTCTTTTGTTGCTGCCTTTTTTAAGTCAATTTCATTCCATACAAATATGAATGTCACTTATTTTATATATCTTAATATGAGTTTACTTTTGTGTTTTGTCTCATACTCGCTTTAGACTCCTTCTCATGTATATTTCCATGTAGTCATTTGATTTGAAGCTCTATGAACCATCAGCAGTGAGCATCCTGCGCAGTACTCGTGTGCGCAGGCCCACCGACAGATAGCGGCGCAGTGCACCATGGGACTTCCTTTCTCTCCGAGGCCATATTGGAGTTAACTCACAGTAAGACGAGCTCCGAGTTTTATGATTAAAAATCACCGGTATTTGTTCATTTCAACGTTTTAATAACACCCGGACATTAACGACAGTCTTCTCCTTCCCCTCTCTCGTCCGCAGGTTGGCCGGTCAGGACTAAACCGCAAAAATGGTGGCCGCAAAGAAAACGGTGAGTGGCGTAGGCTCGGGCCAGAGTGCACGCGCCGCTCTAGGGCCAGGCTGCTGCTTCACGTGGAGACGTGTTTCTGTCAGGGCCTGCTAGCTAACGCTGTAGCGCTCCGAATAAACATATTATTAACACACAGCATGTGTAGTTGGCGTTAAAGATTTGCGGCTGTGAATATTTGAAAGCATGCCTCGAGTGTCCCCTGTTTATTGCCGTCACTCGGTTTGTCGGCTAACGTTTGTAAGCTGCGTTAGCTCTAACAACACCGGCAGTGTAACGTCAGCTAATGCTAATTTGCTAAAACATATAGAAAATGTGGCAACAAGTCCAACTGATGAACCTTTAACAACACATTTGATTCCCTGACTTCCCTGTCCTACTTGTCAATGGCAAATTAATTAAGTCCGCTATTTTATTTAAAGTAACAACGATCAACAAGTGGTGTGAATTAGCTCTGTAGCTTGGTCTCTGTCACTCACTTCAGGTATGTGTGTGTGTGTTTATTCAGAAAAAGTCCATGGAGTCCATCAACTCTCGTCTCCAGCTGGTGATGAAGAGTGGAAAATACGTCCTGGGCTACAAACAGTCCCAGAAGATGATCCGTCAGGGAAAAGCCAAGCTGGTGATCCTGGCCAACAACTGCCCTGCCCTCAGGTATACAAGGAAAATGAACATATTCACACTTGTTATTTAAAAGAATAATTAGTTGTCATGATTGTTGTTGTAAGAGGGTAGCAAGGGTAGCAATGTCAGAGGATATGTGATTACTTTATGGCTTGAATGTAAGAAAAACATGTAGGCTGTTGAGTCAATTTGAATGGCAGAACCTTCAACAGGTCATTGGATATAAACAGTCTCAAGACTGGAACATAAAGAGAATGTACCATCAACATTTGTTTTCACAAGGATAACATTATTTTATGGGCACAGTGCATTCACAACATGGCTTGCTTATGCATAAATTATGCTAAATGTTTAAAATGATCATTACGTGCATTGCCTTGTTATAGACTTCAGATATTGGCCGAAATCTTTATTATTAATGTCAAAGTGGGCCCAGGTTATCTTGGGGTTCCTACAGCTTAAGGCAAGATAGATGTAAGAGACTTTTAATTTCTCCTTGAAATGAAATTTATGACAATTTATACAATATCCAAAACCTAAAGTGCCAAATTTGGATAAACTTTTTGCATTAAGTACACCAAGCTAGCCAGTTTTGGCTCACCTTGCACTTCCCTATGTCGCCCATGGTACAGTGACAGCTAGTCAGCAGACGATGGATGCTGAGCTCTGAGCATCCCAAGTCGTCTTTGTTGCACTATCAGGATCTGCATGATGTCAATGTGAAAGGCATTTTATAAAAAATGAAAATAAAAAACTCATTTAATACTGCTTCCAATGCACTAGCAATTTAAAGACTTTTGAAAGATTGATTTAAAGACATTTAAATACCTATTAAAGCCTTATTTATTTTAGGTTAATAAATTCAATACCTGAAGACTTAAGGATCTGCAGAAACCCTGCTTTCTGGACTACGCAGCTTGCAGACCTACAGTCATTATTTTTGGACATATCACATTAACTAATCACCCTTTTTGTGTGTCTGGGGTTGTTTTGAATCTCAATGCTTTTTTTTTTTTAATTTTTGCTTTTTTGTTTATAAAAACAAATGTTATCTGCATTGCACTTATTTGTAAAACTGAATAAACACAATTTAAAAATATCTTCATAGCTAATCAGCTTTTTAGAATCAGTGGGCCTGATTTATTGGTTCTGACCACAGAGCTGTATTTCACACCTAAGTATGCTTTGATGCAGATGTTGGAAAGCACAACAGGTTTCAAAAACTTGATTTTGTTGTTATAAATTGTTTGATTACACACTAATTATTGATGTTTGGAGCTTCTATGATATTGTGATTTATCTTTTGGGGCATTTTCTTCTTAGGTCCCCTGTTGAAGTTACTGTATTTGTATCTGCTGCTTTGACTCACATCTTTCCTTCGTCTCTTCCCTGTTCAGGAAATCTGAGATTGAGTACTATGCTATGCTGGCCAAGACTGGTGTCCACCACTACAGTGGAAACAACATTGAGCTCGGCACAGCCTGTGGAAAATACTACAGGGTGTGCACACTGGCTATCATTGACCCTGGTGAGTCCCCACCTTTTTGTATTGGACACCATCGACTGCCACAAACATTGAGCTTGTTCTCTGATTCAGATTTCAAAATGGAGTGGACCCATATTAGAATATTTAATGGACTAATGGGATGTTTCTAAAACAAGCTTGTGCAGGGATTGTCAGGTAGTCACATTGACGCCGGGTTATTAGCCTTGGGGGACTGGTCCCAGCCAGTCTGTTTGACAGAACTTAATGGCAGCAACTGAAACACCAACAAAGTTTTCCACCACAGCACCAAATTTTAATGATTCACGACAGAAAATGCATTTCCATCCAATGAGCCTGTTAACCAAGGAGTATAGTAGTGGTCTAGTATAACCACAGTGGCATTTAACACCTAAAATCAAGATGCAGAGATGTCAGAGGAAAATAATGTGTTCATAACTTGCAAGGGATTTATTCTGATTTGTTTTTCAGCATAACATTTTTTGTGGCTTCCAGCATGGTCCTGTTTTGCGCACTTTTGTCCCAAAAAAGACAGTTTTCCCACTAAGCTGTTAGCATAGATAATGAAAATGAATATTCCACTAAGTGTAACAGCTGGAGCCGTTTGTGCTGGTTTGCTTTTTCGCATCAAAATAGGGTTTTTCATCATTTTCCACAAGTTGCGGAGTTGTTGGACTGTGAACACAGCCTCCCTCTTAAATTCCCTCACCTTCTTGTAAAGGTCAGCGTTGAGATAGTTGCATATATCCAAAACCTCTTTATATCCAAGTTTGTCATAATGTTTAAAAGTAGTTGTTTCCGCTTTCGATCAAATCAGAAATGTGGGCTTCCCTTTTGGGCGTGCATCTTTATCAAAGCCTCAAACTGTTGGCGAGTTGGTTTGTGCAGTGCATCCATGAATACGCACACAGCTGACCATTAACAG